GTTCAGTGACCGGTTCAGAAAGCCAGCAGGAGCCAGTCCTTTTTGGAAAATAAGTTTTTGAAATTATTTATTCATTTTTGGCTCTGCTGACCTTTCCGTTGCTTTTGTGTGGGCCTTCTGTAGTCATGTCGAGCGGAAGCTTCTCTTCCTTGCAGTGTGGGGTTTTTCATTGTGGTGTCTTCTCTTGTCCTCCAACATGGACTCAACACTTGTGGCTCCCAGACTTGGTTTCTCCGGGCCACATGTGGGATCTTTGCAGAGCAGTCCCGTGTCTCCTGCATGGGCAGGCGGATTCTTTTTTTTTTTTTTTAACAGAGTACCATTTATTATTGATGGTTTTAATTAAGTTAGTGAGGGTAAAGAGAAAATGAGGCATAATTTATGTATTTGATAGCTTAGTGCAAGTTACCTTTACGTTTAGAGCCATCATTTTGAAGTAACCAATCAGTTCAGTTCAGTCGCTCAGTCGTGTCTGACTCTTTGCGACCCCCATGGACTGCTGCACGCCAGGCTTCCCTGTCCATCACCAACTCCCAGAGTTGACTCAAACCCCTCTCCACTAAGTTGTTGTCACCAATGTTTATACATATTTGTATATGTTTATACACATTTGATGGATATATTGCTCATTATTCCAAACACACTTTCTAGGTTCTAATGTTTGTTTGCAAAACATCTTGGTATTTATAGACAACATCTATTCATTTCCATGATAGAGTTTTACAAATGACCTTTAAATTTAGTACTTTTTTGGTCATGGGAGTATTCTGATATATAGTCATCAAATAATAATGATGTTTGCTCTACATTTTTAAAGAAAGCACAGCAATTGACTTCCTCCATCAAGCACTCAGTTTAGATCCTTGTGGTTGGAAGGTGGATTCTTAACCACAGAGCGACCAGGGAAGCCCAGCGATGGCTTTACGAATGAGCTGTGTGCATGAGGAATGGTGGCTTGTTCTGTGGGGTTCAGGCGTCCCGCTCCAGTCATCTGTTTGGGGAACCAGCCACGTGTCTCACAGAGAAGCGTGCAGTGGATGACTGAGTCATAGGACCCTGAGACGCAGACACCCTGGATCCTTCCAGTCCCGTTTGGAACAACCCCACCAAACTTCCTTCCAGGGCCCTGGCTCTGAATGCAGAAAGGCCAGGCCTCTCTCTGTGTCCCGCTCACTCTAAGCCGTGAACGTGCTTTTTCCTTCTGTCTCGGCATCCCTGACGGCGCATCCCATTACTCACCAAGGGATGGAGGGGCTGGCCTGGTAAACGGACTCAGGGCAGAGGCCTCCAGCTTTTGTGTGCCTGTGGTATTCACCAGGAGACCATGTGCTGAGTGAGGAAGACTGAGCTAGTGCAGGTGATGCAAGCCCAGCTGAACTGTTTCAGGTCCTGAAAGATGATGCTGCGAAAGTGCTGCACTCAATATGCCAGCAAACCTGGAAAACTCAGCAGTGGCCACAGGACTGGAAAAGCTCGGTTTTCATTCCAGGCCCCTAAGAAAGGCAATGCCAAAGAATGCTCAAACTACTGCACAATTGCACTCATCTCACACGCTAGCAAAGTGACGCTCAAAATTCTCCAAGTCAGGTTTCAACAGTACATGAACTGTGAACTTCCAGATGTTCAAGCTGGTTTTAAAAAAGACAGAGGAACCAGAGGTCAAATTGCCAATATCCATTGGCTCATCAAAAAAGCAAGAGAATTACAGAAAAAAAATCTACTTCTTTATTGACTATGTCAAAGCCTTTGTGTGGATGACAACAAACGGGAAAAGTCTGAAAGAGATGGGTATACCACACCACCTGACTAGCCTCTTGAGAAATCTGTAGGCAGGTCAAGAAGCAACAGTTAGAACTGGACATGGAACAACAGACTGGTTCCAAATAGGAAAAGGAGTACGGCAAGGCTGTATATTGTCACCCTGCTTATTTAATTTATATGCACAGTACATCATGAGAAACGCTGGGCTGGAGGAAGCACAAGCTGGAATCAAGATTGCCGGGAGAAATATCAATAACCTCAGATATGCAGATGACACCACCCTTATGACAGAAAGTGAAGAACTAAAGAGCTTCTTGAGGTAAGTGAAAGAGGAGAGTGGAAAAGTTGGCTTAAAGCTCAACATTCAGAAAAGTAAGATCATGGCATCTGGTTCCATCACTTCATGGCAAATAGATGAGGAAACAGTGGAAACAGTGAGAGACTTTATTTTTTGGGGGCTCCAAAATCACTGCAGATGGTGACTGCAGACATGAAATTAAAAGATGCCTGCTCCTTGGAAGAAAAGTTATGACCAACCTAGACAGCATATTAAAAAGCAGAGACATTACTTTGCCAACAAAGTTTGTCTAGTTAAAGCTATGGTTTTTCCAGTAGTCATGTATGGATGTGAGAGTTGAACTATAGAGAAAGCTGAATACTGAAGAATTGATGCTTTTGAACTGTGGTGTTGGAGAAGACTCTTGAGACTCCCTTGGACTGCAAGGAGATCCAGCCAGTCCATTTTAAAGGAGATCAGTCCTGAATATTCATTGGAAGGACTGAGGCTGAAGATGAGACTCCAATACTTTGGCCACCTTATACAAAGAGCCGACTTATTAGAAAAGGCCCTGTTGCTGGGAAAGATTGAAGGCAGGAGGAGAAGGGGACGACAGAGGATGAGATGGTTGGATGGCACCACTGACTTAATGGACATGAGTTTGAGTAAACTGTGGGAGTTGGTGATGGACAGGGAGGCCTGGCATCCTGCAGTCCATGGGGTTATGAGTCAGACACGACTGAGCGACTGAACTGATCTGTACAGACTAGTGACTCAGTTGCACACATACAGCCATTCTTTTTCTGATATTCTTTCCCAGTGTGATTTATTTCAGGAGACTGGATATACTTCTCTGTGTTCCATAGCAGGACCTTATTGTTTGTTCGTCCTGCATATAAAAATTTGCATCTGTTAATGTCAAACTCCTACCCAACCCCTCCCCTGCCTCTTGGAACCCACAAGTCTGATCTCTGTATATCTACGAGAGTCTATTTCTGTTTTGTTAAAAATAGGTTCACTTGTAGACACTGGATATTATCATTGCATGTTGTTCTCATTGCAATCCAGGGAAAGCAATGTAAAGCTAGCATCTGTGGTTTATTCTCTCTTCTCACCAAGACACTTTCGGGATTCACACTAGGGGTCCTAAACAGGGTTATCACTTGCTTCATTGTGGACTTGATCTCTACATAGTTGGATTTACATGCTTTGTGCATTAGAGGTATGGCAAATGTCCTCACTGACACATACGTGCATTAATCAGTTTATTGATCAGTTTAGAAATCCAGTAACATCAGCAACAGCACTAGGAGTTTCATAGTAGGAAAGTCATGGGTCATGACCTCCTGGGAGAGAAGAAATGACGATTTCAAGGAAAAGGTCTGTTATCTTCATACGAATGATTGTGACCCATTAGTGTTGTGACGCTGCTCATATTCTTAACTTTGTTTTCTTCTTGAAACATGAAAAAAAAAAAGTAGCACATTGTTGAGCTGATTAGGATTGATATGATGTTGGTCATAGCATGAAAGAGAAGCTAGAAGTGGTGGATGGTGGAACCAATGCAGAAATTTCCCTACAACTTTCACAGAAGTCCCTCTGTGAGTGTGGCCCTATGGGATTGCATAGAACTACCACCTGGTGAAAGCAGATGTGAGCATCCCTGAATCAGCTCTTATGCTGAGAGTCACTTAGTGACATATTCAGAGGTCTGAGATGGAGGAGACTATATCCTGTGTCACCTGTGTGGCTTACATCTTCTGTCGTCTCGTGTATCATCATGAATGTGTTGGGGCTGCAAGGTCCATTCATTCACAGTGGGATTCACCGGGGGTCATCATATCTCACAGCTCGGGGCTTCACCCAGCCTCCTCCTCTGTCCTCAGAGTGTCTCTGTGGCATCTAGACCAGTATTGTGTTTGGATATTTAAATCCAAACACTTATGGAGGCCCCATCCCTCGCTGCCTGGCTAGGTGGACTGTTCTGTTATCCTGTTCTTTTCGTAAATTAGTTTTTATTGAAACGTCCTTGATTTGCAACGTTGTGTTACTTCCGGCAGTACAGCAAAGTGGTTTATTTATATATCTGTTGTTGCTGTTTAGTCGCTAAGTCATGTCCCAGCTTTTGTGTTCTGTGGACTATAGCTTGCCAGGCTCCTCTGTCCATTGCATTTTCCGGGGAAATATACTGGAGGGGGATCTACCCCGAGGGATCTTCCTGAATCAGGGATAGAACCCACGTTTCCTGTGTCTCCTACATTGGCAGGCAGATTCTTGACCACTGAGTCACCTCCAAAGCCTCAGTTATACATGTCTGTACGTAAATGTACACCTTTTAGATTGTTGTTTATAAATTATGACAAGACATTGAGTATAGTTCTCTGTGCTATCCACTATGTCTTTGTCGTTTACTTTATATATTTTACTGTGTATCTGCTCATTTCAAACTCCTAATTTACCCCTTGCCTGCTTCCCCTTTGGTAACCATTAATTTTGTTTGTGTTTGAGAGTCTGTTTCTGTTTTATGAATGGTTCACTTGAATCATATTTTAGATTCCACATGGAAGTGATGGCATATGATATTTGCCTTTCTCTTTCTGACTGACTTCCGTTAGTAAGATCATCTCTTGGTCCATCCATCTTACTGCAGATGGCATGATTCCATTCTTTTTCATGGCTGAGTAATATTCCATCTTGGGTATCCCATTCTTAAAACAGTGAAACCCCCCTCCCCCAAAGAGTGAACCTACTGAAAAAAGCTCATTGTTGTATGCGTTATGTTTCTACTCACCAAACTGATGTTCTCTGTTCTTATGGAGGACAGTTGTCTGTGAAAGAGAATGAATAAGGGGAATAATGAACATTGACATGCCTTTGTTTCCAAGGATTATTTCATCACAGCTTTTTAAAAAGATATCTGTGCCAATGGGAATTTTGAATCGAATGTCCTAGTGATGGGTTTTCATTTCGGATAGCTGTTTTCCTGAGGGGCTTTACCTGTTTCGATGACATTGTCAATATTTTCATTTGGAATCCCCCTTTCACTGTTCAGCTCCTGATACTTCTGAAGTTCTTCTTGAGTGAAACTGGTTCCTCTGCCTGGATTTCATAGCAAACAGGGCAGAAGAGGTGTGCGTTAGAATCCTTTATAGGTTATAGGGAGTCACATGGCTCGTTCTTGTAGTGTCTAGTAAGTCTCACCAACACCACGGCCCTCCACCCTCACCTAAAATCCAGCTATCTTTCTACAGACGTGCCTGAGTGTGCACAGAGGTCCTCAGATGTGTCCATGAGGGTAGAGTCCACATAGTTAACATGTCACCACATTCCAGTTCTTGCAAGTACTGAATGAGCTACAGATCACTCAGCTGTGAGCTTAAAGCATTGCGCTGTTGAGATGCAGTTTTTCATGGTACATCACAGAAGGTCGTGGCACATCTGAGACTCAGAATCTGCCCCAATTCTAATGCTTCCTGTCCACTTTGTCTGCATCCTAGAATGGCATCCCTGGGGTTTTCATGAACTATGATGAAATGAATGGGTGGGGAATGATTTGGAATTTTCAAAAGCACACTAATCCTGTTGAGGCGGTGTAGGACCTTATGTTCCTTGCCCCGCCCCTGCTATTTTCAGCCTGCCTTTTGTCTGTGAAAGATTTTAGTCAAAGAATAAGTTGAATCAGAAAATTGAGAGTGTCGGATAGCAAAGGAAAACAGACAGAGGAGATGAAATAATAATAATGTCGTCATGAAGCATAGACAAGGGCCTCTACTTCCTCCCCAAGGAGAGTGGATACTCTTCTGGGTCATATCCTGTGAGCTGTCGTATAGACGCTGAAAGCTCCCCTTGTGGACAAGATAAATACAGGCTGACCAGACTGCAGCCATGGCGGAAGCTCCCATGTTTCTGAGAATTGATTTCAAGGAGATGGGAAGATAGGGAATTGTTGATTAACTGTGCCTAAAACAATCACGATGATGCTGGTCAGACCACTGATGACCGATTTGAAAATGACTTTTGGAGCTGACTTCTATTTTTGCAAGGAGCCCCCTCCCTCTGTCTATAAAAGCTCTTGCCCCACTGTTTGCCAGTTGTGGGCTGGGGCAGTCAGCCCTTGGACAGAAGTCCACCCTCCCCCCCAGTTGTCTGCCTCTGAACAAAAGCCGACTTTTCTTTCTAAGAAGCTGGCCTCTTAGTTGCCTTTTGAAGGGCAGGCAGCAGGCTCCCACATTTGGTAACAGCATCACACATGCTACTGAGGGAAACACTCATGCTCTGTCATCTTCAAAGAACAGATACAACCCCCACCCATCCCTGATGAGGATATAATAGCAGAGGGGATAAAGGGATGAGGCAGTGAACCCAAGGGATTGGCCGGATGGCAGAATGACTGATATTCCAGACCACTCTGCCTCTGCAGTCTTCAGGGTGATCCAGTGGTATTTGTAGAGCGTGGGGTTCAGGCTGAGGCAGCACTTTCATGATTGTGACAAAGGAGAAAGCATTTGTCATGGAGATGACCGCAGTCATGGCTGGGACCTGTGAGTTTTCTAAACTCAGATTTAAACCTCGGTTCACTTTGGTGTCAGGACCCAGCAACTCTGTTTGCGTGACACTTGGCAGGGAACTCATGGAGCATCCTGAAAGATTTCCTTGGATCTCTGGGATAAGTGTATCTCGTTAAAAAAAAAAAAAACCAAAAGCCATCTGATAGAATCCCCCAGTGGACACATTTCCTCATTTTTCTAGCAGACAGACTTTCTATATCCCTGACTCACGTCACATGAAGTCTGAATTCTCCGTGTAAACACACATCTGTGCTTCATAGAAGATGCTGTGCTGAGTTGCTCAGTCGTGTCCGACTCTTTGTGACCCCATGGTGTATAGACCACCAGGCTCCACTGTCCCTGGGATTCTCCAGGTAAGAATACTGGGGTGCATTGCCGTTCCCTCCTCCAGGGGATCTTCCCAACCCAGGGATCAAAGCCAGGTCTCCTGCATTGCAGGTAGGTTCTTTCCCATCTGAGCCACCAGGGAAGCCCTAATAGAAGTTATGTGTGTATCTCTCTCCTTTCTGTAAAAATACTGATCATATGAACACATCTGCGCTGTATTGGGTAAGCTGTAGTACGTACCGGAAGCTTCAGTTATTTTTGTGATCTTCTGTCCATCATCGTTTTCAAAATAAAATACCAGCATGTTGTCTGTTACATGAATGATTTGCAAATAATTTGTACCCGCGACTGTGGCAGAGAAAAAAAAAATCAAACTTCAGTATGATTAACTTATTTTCTTTTCATTTGAGCCTTACGTATTCTTCACATGCTATCATCAGCCTTCACTTGGATGGTGAACTCTGCCTCACTGAGATTTCTAGTGATACGTTGTTAGAACTAGTTAAGACAGTTAGTGAACTAGGAAAGCTTCCTCCACACCCCCTTCTCCTGAAGATGAAGACTTCCAGTCTTCTAGACTGAGAAGTCTGTGCATGATAAAAAGTTGTTTACTGCAACTCTAGTAGGTGTTGAACCTCAGCCATCTCATGCGAGCTCGCAAGAGCTGACTGTTAAATTTTCAAGAATTTTGTAACCCAGAATTTTGTAACCCAGTTTGCAAGCACAAGCGTGCTTAGAAAGGAATTCAAAAATTTAAATGAATGATATTAACATAAATATCAGTACCTCATCCAGAGTTATTTCCTAGTACAAGTTGTAATAAAAGAGGTATAAATTAGTCTGTTGCAAAATGTTGGACATATATAATCTGAAATGGTTGCAGATTAGATCCTGTGGCTCTTTGTCCACAGTTGAAATTAAAATAAATGCATCAGACCAAGATTGGAGTGCTCAGTTGTACATTTTTTCCCCATGAAAATGAAACATACAGACATTTGATCACTGATTAGAATATTGCAGTACTGATATTAATGTTTGAGAATTATTTCCTGTCGTTTTCAACCACAGAGATAGAAATCTATGTTAATGCCTCTTTCAAATTAAATATTGATATTCATATTTGAGAATTGTTTCTACTTATTTTAAGCTATAGAGATAGAAGTCTATGCTGAAGTCCCTTTCCAATTATGTAAAAATGAGTTGGAAATTTTGGCCGTTATTTTAACTGTTTCCATTTTTGGACTTTAAGTTAATCATGTTCTACTCACTAAACTTGCTAATGAGGAGCTTTTAATGTTTAAAGAATTCCTTTAGTCAAAACAAATTTCCTCATGTAGGTCAAGTAAAAGCAAAAATTGTGAAACAGTCGTTATTAGCCTATGCAGGTAATTGCACTTCTCCATGCCCGAGGAACACGAGGGGTCAGTGTTCTGGGGCTTTTTCTCAGAGACCGTGAATGGCCATGTTGCAACCTTGGACGTCATGCTGGTGTTGTGGGACAGAATTGATTGCTGAAAAATTAATGGCTTTTCCAAGGTTGCATTGGTAATGAGTAGAGGAAGTAGTTCACCAATCCAGACATGTAGCTGTTTTGGATGAAATGGAGACTGTCAGTCCAAACGCGTTCCGTGGTCTGGGGAAGACCACCCATCAGAGAAGCTGGAATACTCACATTCTATGATGTAAATACCTCCCTCTTGCCTCTTTAGCTCTTCCGAGAAAAACTGGCATCTGCCGTCAAGTCTGAAAAACCCAACAGACAAGACGTTCCTTCCTCACCATTCACCACGCCCCAGGGCTTGAGGACACCCCGCCGTGAATAGAGTTCAAACACTGAACCTCACAACCCTGACTCACACCTCTCACTGCACGTTGGACATCGGACCCCATGTCAGAAGCCAACAGACGTCTTGTTCTCAGTTCCGGAGGATTGTGCTTACTTGACATAATATGAAATGAGGAGGTATTCGCAGTCATTTTTGCATTCAATCTGACGATAATAACACCTCAGTGGGCCCCCTTCCACAATCTTCTCCTTGTTATCCGCGGCCACATAAATGGTGCGCCAGTCTCCTGTGACCTAAAAGGAAGGTCTTCGTAAACATCAGTCAGTCTCTTTTCTGGTTACTCACCAATACGCAGCACTGCCTTTGCTTCTGCATTTACCACAGAGGAAAAGTTAATTGAAGCATATTAAGCAAAGAGGAGTTCCACCCCCTACCTTGCTGACTAACACGACATGAAATCATCTTTCCTATTGGAGCACAAAGCACAGAATGCAGAATTTTTTCGCAGAAAATTCAGAGTTTTTTGAAATAGCTAAAACTATGCCAGTAAAGACCGCGACAGTTCAAATCTTTCTGAATGTTAGCTTGTTTGGCTTTTTTACTTGTTTGTCTGTTTTACCTACAGGTGAATAAGATAAATGAAAAATACCAGAAACAGATATTACATTCATATAGATATGTCAACCACGGAAGGCTTACAATCTGGTCATACATATACACAAAAATATCTCTGTCACATGCACACACAACCTCACACACACATGCACAAACACAGACACACACACATAGGATCAAAGAAGCAAGACCTTCAAGCAGATCAGCTCATTCTGGGTACCTTTGAGGGGTCTATTTCAGCTGGAGTTTCCTGGGCCCCACAAATGAGACCAAAGAGGAGAGTCAGGAACACCACCTTCATCTTGGGACTGTTGTCGTCCTTCTTCTAGAGAAGCTGAGGGTGTCTTGGTTGTTGGAGGGGTTGTGAATTGGTTCCACTTTTTATAGGATATGTCTCTTGGCGGAATACATGTTGATCAAACAGTGGTTAATCACCAGATCATGGTGAACTAAACATGATCCTCTGATATCCTGGTTGGCAGGTGAGCATTTTGGCATTCTGTGCTTCTTATACAAACCCCGTGTTATTTCTTTCACATTGAAGAGGTCATTTTATTTTTCAGATAAAAATTTTTTAATGGTTCATATTTCCTGACTGCTTCCTTCCTTATGTTGTTTTCATTATTGATATGGCAGCTGTTTCTCTGAGAATTTTTTAAAAAGTGTTTTTGTGGGGTATCTCAGTGGTCACACTTCTTATAACTTCTGCTAAGGTTTTTTTTTTTTTTTTTTCCCCCAATTTTACAACATACACTTGGTCTTACTTTCTGTGTTCTGCCTTTTGCTAGTTATGGCCTCAGGGCTTGTCATTGTGATGGTTTTCTTGTTCAGGCTCTGGAGCACAGGCAGAGTTTGTGTAGCCTTTGTTGTCATTACAGCTTGTGGGATCTTCCAGGATCAAGATTCCCTGTGTGGCCCCTGCACTGGCAGGTGGACTCTGAACCACTGGATCCCTGGGGAAGTCCTTCTGTTCAGTTAATGTTTCTGTTTCTTAGTTTTAGTTCTTGCTTTAGCCGGCTTGCTTGGTTGAGACCTTAGTGAGCATAGCCTCATTCTCTGGGGCTAATAGTAGCTGTCCTCCACTCTTCCCTAGTAGCAGTATTGGACACGTTCCATCCTGTGGGGCAGAGGAGGTCATATTTCAGTGTCATAACTCTTTGCCAATTTACAAAGCTTGTGGGGTTCTCACAGCAAGAGTACTGGAGTGGTTTGCAACTCCCTCCTCCAGTGGATCACATTCTGTCAGAACTCTTCACTCTGAATCATGTGTCTTGGGTGACCCTACATGAAACGGCTCATAGCTTCCCTGAGTTATGCCAGCCCCTTCACCACACTAGGCAGTGATCCATGAAGGGGGTATAACTTAGTCCTCAACCACTATTGTTCCATTTTCTGTCAACAACTCGAGTCAATGGACATGAATAGCTTGACCTTGGAGACCAGAGTGTGGTTGGAACATGCATTGACGGTGCATGCAGCTCACCGTGAGCCCTGGCAGGGTATGTGACCAGTGTCCTGTTCTCCATTTCCTCTCACTCCACAGCATTTCAGGTGCACCAGCCTTCCACATTCTCAGGAGCCTACCAGAGTTCTCCAGAGTGGAGTGCCTCATCTTTCCCATCTCCCTTACACACTTTTGCTGGTCTTTTGTCTAGTCCAGTGTCATGACCTGTGGAGTACCAATGATGCTCCTTTTGCCCATCAGTTGGCACCAAGCAATGACTATTACTTTGAACAATGTCTGATGAGGAACTTTTCTGAAGAACTTTAGGTAACTCTGCACTTGCATCTGCAGCAAGGCCTCTGCTTCTGGGGTTTGAGCTGGAGAGGAGCTCCCCCTAGTCGGACACCACAGACCCCGTGCTTTGTAAACACCGTCGTTGCCCTTTCTTTAGTGAACACTGTTCACTTTTGTTGCATGTGTGTGTGTGTGTGTGTGTGCTCAGTTCATCAATCATGTCTGACTCTTGCAAGTCCATGGACTGTAGCCTGCCAGGTTCCTCTGTCCATGGGATTCTCCAGGGAAGAATACTGGAGTGGGCACAAACAAAAGCCAAAGTCCAGATGGCTTCACAGCTGAATTACCAAAAATTTAGAGAAGGGCTAACACTTTCTCAAAGTCTTCCAGAAAATTGCAGAGGAAGGTTAACTTCTGAACTCATTCTATGAGGCTACCATACCCCTGATACCAAAACCAGACAAAGATACCATTAAAAAAAAAGAAGAAGAAGCCATCCCCCTGAAAGCAAAACCAGACAAAGATACCATTAAAAAAAAAAAAAAGAAGAAGAAGAAAAGGAAAAGAAAACTATAGGCCAGTATCACTGATGAACATAGATGGAAAAATCGTGAACAAAATTCTAGCCAAGAGAATCCAACAACATATTAAAAAGATCATACATCATGACTAAGTGGGGTTTATCCCAGGAACACAGGGATTCTTCAATATCTGCAAATCAATCAGCGTGATACACCACATTAACAAGTGGAAAGATAAAAACCGTATGATTATCTCAATGGATGCAGAGAAAGCCTTTGACAAAATTAAACATTCATTTATGATAAAAACCATCCGGAAAGCAGGCATAGAAGGAACATACCTCAACATAATAAAAGCCATATATAATAAACCCACAGCAAACATTATCCTTGATGGTGAAAAATTGAAAGCATTTCCCCTAAACTCAGGAACAAGACAAGGGTGCCCACTCTCACTGCTACTATTCATCATAGTTTTGGAAGTTTTAGCCACAGCAATCAGAGAAGAAAAGGAAATAAAAGGAATCCAGATTGGAAAAGAAGAAGTAAAACTCTCACTGTTTGTAGATGACATGATCCTCTACACAGAGAACCCTAAGTACTCCACCAGAAGATTACTAGAGCTAATCAATAAATATAGAAAAGTTATAGGATATAAAATTAACACACAGAAGTCCATTGCATTCCTATACACTAACAATGAGAAAACAGAGGAATTAAGGAAACAACTCCATTCACCATTGCAACAAAAAGAGTGAAATATTTAGGAATAAAGCTACCTAAAGAAAGAAAAGCCCTATATATAGAAAACTACAAAACACTGATGAAAGGAATAAAAGAGGACACAAATAGATGGAGAAGTATACCATGTTCTTGGATCAGAAGAATCACTATAGTGAAAATGAGTATACTACCCAAAAGCAATCTATAGATTCAATGCAATCCCTATCCAGCCACCATGGTATTTTTCAGAGAACGAGAACAAATAATTTCACAATTTGTTTGGAAATACAAAAAACCTCGAATATCCAACTCAATCTTGAGAAAGAAGAATGGAACTGGAGGAATCAACTGAAGTCAATCAAGCCTGACTTCAGACTCTACTACAAAGCTACAGTCATTAAGACAGTATGGTACTGGCTCAGAGACAGAAATATAGATCAATGGAACAAAATAGAAATCCCAGAGATAAATCCATGTACCTATGACACCTTATCTTCAACAAAGGAGGCAAGAATATACAATGGAGAAACGACAATCTCTTTAACACGTGATGCTGGGAAAACTAGTCAACCACTTGGAAAAGAATGAAACTAGAACGCTTTCTAACACTATACACAAAAATAAACTCAAAATGGATTAAAGATCTAAATGTAAGACCAGAAACTATGAAACTCCTAGAGAAAAGCATAGGCAAAACACTCTCTGATGTAAATCATAGCAGGATCCTCTATGACCCACCTCCTAGAGTAATGGAAATAAAAGCAAAAATAAACAAATGGGACCTAATTAAACTTAAGAGCTTTTGCACAAAGAAGGAAACTATATGCAAGTTGAAAAGACAGCCTTCAGAAGGGGAGAAAATAATAGCAAATGAAGTAACTGACAAAGAATTAATCTCAAAGATATAAAAGCATCTCCTGCAGCTCAATTCCACAAAAATAAACGACCTAATCAAAAAATGGGTCAAAGAACTAAACAGACATTTCTCCAAAGAAGACATACACATGGCTAACAAACACATGAAAAGATGCTCAACATCACTCATTATTAGAGAAATGCAAATCAAAATCACAGTGTGGAACCATCTCACGGAATTCAGAATGGCCACCATCATAAAGTCTACAAACAGTAAATGCTGGAGAGGGTGTGGAGAAAAGGGAACCCTCTTACACTGCTGCCAGGAATGCAAACTAATGCAGCCACTATGGAGAACTGTGTGAGATTCCTTAAAAATCTGGAAATAGAACTGTTGTATGACCCAGCAATCCCATTGCTGGGCATACACACTGAGGAAACCAGAATTGAAAGAGACACATGTACCCCACTGTTCGTCACAGCACTGTTTACAATAGCCAGGACATGGAAGCAACCTTGATGTTCATCAGCAGACGAATGGATAAGAAAGCTGTGGTACATATACACAATGGAATATTATTAGCCATTGAAAAGAATACATTTGAATCTGTTCTACTGAGGTGGATGAAACTGGAACCTATTATACAGAGCGAAGTAAGTCAGAAGGAAAACACCAATACAGTATGTTAATGCATATATATGGAATTTAGAAAGATGGTAACGATGACCCTATGCAAGACAGCAAAAGAGACACAGATATAAAGGACGGACTTTTGTATTCTGTGGGAGAAAGCGAGGGTGGGGTGATTTGAGAGAATAGCATTGAAACATCTATATTATCATATGTGAAATAGATGACCATTCCAGGTCCAATGCATGAGACAGGGTGCCCAGGGCTGGTACACTGGGATGACCCTGAGGAATGGGATGGGGAGGGAAGTGTGAAGGGGGTTCAGAATGGCAGCCAAATGTACACCCATGGCTGAATCATGTCAATGTATTGCAAAATCTACACAATGTAAAGTAATTAGCCTAAAATTAAATAAATAAATAAAAAGAAAAATCTTATCAACAGTTATTGAATAAACAAAATATATGAATAATTAAAAAAAAAGAATACTGGATTGGATTTCCATTTCCTCCTTTGGGCATCTTCTCGACCCAGGGATTGAACCTGCATCTCTTGTGTCTCCTGCATTGGTAGGTATTTTTGGTATATATATATTTACCACTGCAACCCCTGGAAGCCATGTAAGACTGCATTCTGCAAACCTTACCACCTCCTGCAACCCCACAGCAGATGAACGTTACTTAACACCATCGTTGAGTTGTTTTCAAGCTCCACTTAGTACAGCTGAGATTCTACTTGAAGGTGTCTGACTCCCCAGTTCCCTTTCTTGTGTGATATCTGATTGGAACCTCATTTCACCATATAAAAACTACCTTCTGTGGTTTATTTTCTCATCTTGCAGAAACACTTTCAGGATTCAGACTGTGCATTCTAAACAGAGTTATTTCCTCCTTCATTGTACATTCGATTTTCTGCATGGTTGAATTTACATGTTTTGAGTATTTGAAAACATAGAACATTTGTTCACTACAAATATGTGCATTAATCAATTTATTGAACAATTCAGTCACATCAGCTAGAGCAGAGGATATTCATAGTGGGAAAGCCTTGGGTTCAGGGTCATGATTTCCTGGGATAGAAGCAATGATGATTTCAAGGAAAAAGTCTGCTATCTTCATCTGGATGATTGGGACACATGAGTGCTTCGATTTTGCTCACATTCTTACTCCATGTTTTTCTTTAAGCATGAAAAAAAGGAAAATGTTGTTGAGCTGATGATTATTAATATGATATTGGCTAGAGCATGAAAGAAAGAGTAGAACCAGTTGCTGATGGAAAAGCAGTGGAGAAGCTTTCCTACCAGACCCACTTCACAGAAGTTTCTCTTGTGTGTGTATCCCTGGGGGTACTGTAGAATTACCACCTGGTGAAACAAGCTGTGAACAGTCTGGTATCAGTTCTGATATTGAGAGTTAGTACGTTATGCATTCACAGCTCTGAGATGTAGGAGACTATATGCTCTGTGACCTGTGCCACTTACATCTTCTGTGATATCCTTTATCATCATGCATGTGTTGTGGCTGCAGGGTCATTCATTCACAGTGGCATTCCCCAGCGATCATCCTATCTTATAGCTCAGGGCTTCACATCACCTCCATTGCCCGTAAAGCATCTCAGTGTGGATTCTAGACCGATGTCAGGGTTTAGATATTCTAATCCGAACACTAAGGAAGCCCAAGCTTTTGACACTTGACAAGGTGAAGTGTTCTGTCATCCCATCCTTTTTTAAGTTAATTTTTATTGAAATGCAGTTGCTGTTCAATGTTGTGTTAGTTTCAGGTATAGAGCAAAGTGATTCATTTATACATTTGTTGTTGTTTTCTCTCTGGGTTGTGTCCCACTCTTCTCTGGCCATATGGACTATAGATTCCCAGATTCCTCTGTCCATTGGATTATCAAGGCAAGCATACTGGCGTGGGGTACCTGAACCAAGGATCTTCCTGACCCAGGGATGAACACACATCTTCTGTGTCTCCTGCATTGGCAGGCAGATTCTGGAACTCTGAGTCACCTGGGAAGCCATCAGTTCCATATATGTTTAGGTATGTGTATACCTATTTTCATTCTTCTTCTTAAAGTTATTAGAAGACATTGCGTATAGTTCTCTGCTCTCTCCAATTGGTCTTTGTTGTTTATTTTATATATTTTAGTGTGTGTCTGCTTCTCTCAAACTCCAAATCTACCCCTTGCCTGCCTGCTTTCCCTTTGGTAACCATTAATTTTGTCTGTGTTTGAGTCTGTCTCTGTTTTTTAATGGTTCATTTGAATCGTATTTTAGATTCCACATGGAAGTGATAGCATATGATATTTGCCTTTCTCTTTCTGAGTTACTTTGCTTAGTAAAATTATCTGTAGCTTCATCCATGTTGCTGCAAATGGCATTATTTCTTTTGTTTTCCTGGCTGAGTAATATTCCACTATGTATGTATCCCATTCTTAAAGCAGTAAGCCCCCTTCCCCCAAAGTGTTAACCTACTGAGAAAAAAATAGGTTGTATGTGTCATATTTCTACTCACCCAACCACTCTTCACTGTTCTTATGGAGGACAACTGTCTGTGAAAGAGAATGAATAAGGGGGAAAATGATCATTGACATGCCTATACTTCAAAAGATTATTACAAAGAAGTTCTTATTAAAGACATCTCTGCCAATAGGTTATTTGAATGGAATGTTCTAGTGATGTCTTTCATTTTGGATACCTGTCATCGTCTGGGGCTTTACCTGTTTCTATGACATTATCTATATTTTCAGTTGGAATCCCCCTTTCACTGTTCAGTTTCTGATACTTCTGAAGTTCTTCTTGAGTGTAGCTGGTTCCTTTGCCTGGATTTCATAGCAAACAGGGCAGAAGACGTGTGCATTAGAATCCTTTATAGGTTATAGAGTGCCACCTGGCTCATTCCTGTAGTGTCCAGTAAGACTCACCAACACCACTGCCCTCCACCATCATTTAAACCCTGCTCTCCAGCTGTTTTTCTACAGACGTGCCCGAGTGTGCACACAGGTCTTCAGATGTGTCCGGCGGGTAGAGTCCACATAGTTAACGTGTTATTACATTCCAGTTCAGAGAACAACTAATCATTCAGCCGAGACCTTAGGCATCCTGCTGTGAGATACAGTCTTTCATGGGACATCAAAGAAGGTCATGGTGGGTCTGAGACTCAGAATTCCTCCCAACTCTATCTCTTCCTGTCCACTTTGTCTACATTCTAGAAGTCCATCCCCGGGGTTTTCATGAACGCTTATGAAATGAATGGGTGCAGGAATGATGGGGAAGTTTCGAAACCACACTTATCCTAGTGAGACAGAACAGGACCCTGTGTTCCTTGCCCCACCCACCATGTTTCTGGCCTGCCTTTTGTCTGTGAAATATTTAGGTCAAAGCATAAGTTTAATCAGAGAAATGACAATGTGGGAAAGCAAAGGAAAACAGTCAAAAGAGACCAAATAATAATCATGTAGCCATGAAACAAAGAAAAGGACCTGTACTTCCTCCCAAGGACAATAGATACTGTTCTGGGTCATCTCCTGTGAGTTCTTTGCGACCCCATGGACTGTAGCCCGGCAGGCTCCTCTGTCCTTGGGGATTTCCCAGGCAAGAACACTGGAGTGGGTTGTTATGCCCACCTCCATGGGATCTTCCCTACCCAGGGATCAAACCCAGATCTCCTGCATTGGACGTGGGTTCTTTCCCATCTGAGCCACCAGTGAAGCCCTATTGTAATGTGTGTGTACCTCTCTTCTTAGTATAAAAGTACTGATCATACAAGCTCATCTACGTAAGCTACAGGACTTACCAAGACCTTCAGTCATTTTTGTGATCCTCTCCCCATCATAGTTTTCAACATAAGTCACCAGCATGTTTTCTGATACATGAATCAGTTCCAAAGTATTTGCACCCGCATCTGTGACAGGAAAAAACAAACAAACAAAAAACCCCACAAAAAAACCAAGAACAAACATTCAAACCTCAGTAGGATTAACTTCTTTCCTTTTCAGTTGAACATGTCTTATTCTTCACTCGCTCTCTGACATCCATTTTCCCTCTGATGGTAAACTCTGTCTCAGTGACATTTCTAGTGGTGTGTTGTTAGACTCTTTAACAAAACTCGTGAAGTAGGGATGCTCTCTCCACACACCGCTCTCTTGAAGATCTTTAAGACTTCCAGTCTTCTATACTGAGCCTTATGTGAATGATAGCAAAGTTGCTTGTTGCAACTATAGTGTGAGTTGAATCTCAACCATCGCATACCCGCTCACAAGAGCTAACTGGTACATTTTCAGGAATTTTGTGACCCAGTTTGCAAGTACAGTCATGGTTAGAAAGGAATTCTAAATAATTAAATGAATCTTAGTGAAATGAAAGGTACTGCATGATCCAGAGTTGTTTCTTAGCACAAAAGTAACAAAAGAGGTACAAGTTAGCCTGTTGCCTAATGTTGGGCATATATACTCTTTAATGATTGCAGATTAGACTCTGTGGCTGCATGTCCACAGTTGAAATTAAAATACTTGCAGCAGACCAGGATTAGAGTGCTCCATTGTATATGTTTTCAATGAAGATGAAACCCATGGACATGTGATCACTTCATGTAATGTTACAGTGTTTATATTAACATTTGAGTATCATTTCCTATTATTGTCAACTACAGAGATAGAAATCTGTGTGAGTGCCCCTTTCAACTTATGTGTTGATATTATATTTGAGAAATATTTCTTGTTATTTCAAACTGTGGAGATCAAAGTCTATGCTAAAGTCACATTCAGTGTATGTAAAAATTAGTTTAAAATTTTTGCTCTTATTTTGAAGTGAAGCAAAAAATCAGTCGTGTCTGACATCTGTGCACCTCGGCCTGTCACCCAGCAGACTTTCCTGTCCATGGGATTCTCCAGGCAAGAAGACTAGAATGGATAGTCATTTCCTTCTCCAGGGTACTTCCCAACCCAGGGATTGAACCTGGGTCTCCTGCATTGCAGAGCTCTTATTTTAGCTGTTCTCATTTTGGGACTTGAAATTAATCATGTTCTACTTACTATAGTTACTAATAAAGAACTTTTAACATTTAAGAAATTTCTTCATTTTAAGCAAATTTGATCATGTAGGTGAAATAAAAAAATATTTTGAGTCTTTATAATCTTAAAATAATTATATATATGTATACACATATATACATAGATACATACATACATACATATATACACACATACATATATAATATATATACATATACATACATACATATATATGCACACACATACATATATATGTACACACATATATGTACATATATATGTATGTATCTGTATATACACACACATATAATATATATATTATATGTACATATATACCTATATATGTATTACATATACATATATACACACATACATATATATATTATATATGTACATATACATATATACATATACATACACATACATACATATATATATAATATGTACATGTATATAATATATGTATACATACATGCATATATATAATATATATGTACATATATATATATAATATATATATAATCTTTTGCACTTCACCATGCCCAGGGAACAAGTATAGTCACCATTCTGGGGCTTTCTCCCAGAGCCCATCAATGGCCACATTCCACCCTTGGACCTCACCCTGGTGTTGTGGGACAAAGGTGATTCCTGAAAAGTTAAATGGCTCTTCCAAGATTACCTTGGTAATGAGTAGCAGAAACAGTCCACCCATCCAGACATCTGGTTGTCTTTGATGGAATCGAGGCTATTGAACTGAACACGTTCCATGGTCTGGGGAAGACAGCCCATTCGAAAAGCTGGAATACTCACATTCTATGACATAAACATATCCCTCTTTTCTCTTTGCCACGTCTTTGAGTAACAGGCATGTTCCATCGTCCCTGAAAAACCAAGAGACAAAACATTCCTTGCTTGCCATCTCTTACCCAGCCCTTGAGGACACCCTTGAATAGAGTTTACACCCTCAACTTTGCAGTCATGACCCATGCCTTTCACTGCATATTGGAGCCCAGACCGCATGCCCAACATCAACAGTTTCCTTGCTTTCCATTGTGGGGAGGATGTTATGCTTACTTGTCATAAAATGTAATGGAGAGGTATTCACAGTCGTTGATACATTCAATCCGACGATAGTAGCCCCTCAGTGAGCCCCCTTCCACAATCTTCTCCTTGTTATCCGCAGCTGCGTAAATGGTACGCCACTCTCCTGGAATCTAAGGAGGAAGGAGGTCTCCATAAACATCAGTCAATATCTTTTATGGTTACTCACCAGTACCCAGCACCACCTTTGCTTCTGCATTTCACACAGAAGAGAAGTAAATTCAACCTTATTAAGCAGAGTTCTCCCCCCTACCTTGTTGAATAACATGACATGAATTCATGATTCCTATTGGAGCAGAAAACATAGAGTTCGGGGTTTTTTGAAATAAAACATGTCATGATTGAATGACTCTCTGAATGATAGTGTGTTAAATTTTTTTTTTAAGCCTATAGACAAATAAGATGAAGAAGAAAATAAAAAAACTGTTTACACAAAGGGTTGTATTTTGCTCAGTGGACCACAGTCCATGATACAATCTGATTATACATGTAAATGAGCTTATCTTTTACATGTACACAAAAACAACCAGACACACAAACACACACACTCAAACAAGCAAGACCCTCTAGGAGGTCACCTCCTTCTGGGTACCTTTGAGGGGTCTATCTCAGCTGGAGTTTCCTGGGCCCCACAAGCCACAGCTAAGAGGGGAGTCAGGAACACACCCTTCATCTTGTGACCCTTGTGGTCCTTCTAGGGAAGCTGAGCACATCCCAGTTGTTGGATAGGTTTTGAATTGTTGCGCTCTTTATAGGATACGTATCTTGGCAGAATGCATAATGGTCACACAGTGGTTAATCACACGATGCGGTTCCATAGATGTCATCTTCTGACATCCTGGATGGCAGCTGAGCTTTTTTAGTGGTTTTCTGCGGTTCTCATAGAGATAGTTATTTTTAGAGGAGCCACAGTTGGATCTGGACATTGAGTCTTCAGAGTGAATAAGAACTCAGAGAACACTTGAGGTATTTCCAGGACAGTGATATTTGTATTCTTATCCATCCTCAAAGAGTCCAAGACACACATCCTCAACCTCTGTGTTATTTCTCTCATGTTGAAGAGGTCTGTTTAAGCTTATTTTCTAAAAGTACAGATGGCATTGTCCCATTTTAAGAAAATCAGTATGTGTTGTTTCTACCAGGAATCAGTTATCAGAGCATTCCTCAGAGGGGTCTGTATTTTTTTTTATATGAAATTGAAATATATTTGAGGTACAATATTTTTTGTTATAGGTATACCATATAGATATTCATAATTTTATTGCTCCTTTTGAAGTTATAAATATGTAGGCTTTTTTATTGCCTATGTTTTATAATATATATTTATACGTTATTTATTTTAACATAGTAGTTTCTACCTCTTATTCCACTCCTTCTGTCTTAACCTACCATTTTTCTTCACCCCACTGATCACCACTAGTTTCTTCTCTGTATCTTTTCTTGTTATGTCCTGGAGTTTGTTTTATTTTTTATTTTATACACATAAGTAGAATGGAGAAGACTCTTGAGAGTTCTTTGGACTGCAAGGAGATCCAACCAGTCCATCGAAAGGAGATCAGTCCTGGGTGTTCATTGGAAGGACTGATGCTGAAGCTGAAACTCCAGTACTTTGGCGACCTCATGCGAAGAGCTGACTCCTTGGAAAAGACCCTGATGCTGGAAGGGATTGGGGGCAGGAGGAGAAGGGAACGACAGAGGATGAGATGGCTGGATGGCATCACCAACTTGATGGGCATGAGATTGAGTCAACTCCGGGAGTTGGTGATGGACAGGGAGGCCTGGCGTGCTGCAGTACATGGGGTCACAAAGAGTCGGACACGACTGAGCAACTGAACTGAACTGAACTGAAGTAGAATACAACCCTTTGGCTATCCATTTTTAAATTTTTTTCTTCATCTTATTTGTCTGTGGGCTTAAAAAAATCTTAACGTGTTATGATTCATAGAGTCATAAACTGTCACAGTCATTTGCCATATCATACAGTATTTGTCTTTCTCCCTCTGACTTATTTCACTTAGCATAATACCCTAAAAGTCCATCCACATTGCTTTAAACTTCACATATTTATGGTTGCCAAGTGTTCCACTGATTTGTGTATGGATATAACAGATGTGTGTATGTGTGTTTATACATATATAGATGTTCAAGCTGAATTTAGAGAAGGCAGAGGAATAAGAAATCAAATTGCCAACATCCATTGGATTATCAAAAAAGCAAGAGAGATCCAGAAAAGCATCTGTGTGTGTGTTAGTTTCTCAGTCGGGCCTGACTGTTTGCGATCCCACAGACTGTAGCCCACCAGGCTTCTCTGTCCATGGAATTCTCCAGCCATGAATACTGGAGTGGATTTCCATTCTCCTTTTCAGAGGAACTTCTCAGCACAGGGATTGATCTCTGGTCTGCTACATTGCAGGAAGGGTCTTTACTGTTTGAGCTACAGGTAAGTCCATCTACTTCTGCTTTATTGACTGTGCTAAAGACTTTGTGTGGATCACAACAAACTGTAGAAAATTCTTCAAGAGATGGGAACACCAGACCACCTTACCTGCCTCCGGAGAAATCCGTATGCAGGTCAAGAAGCAACAGTTAGAACCGGACATAGAACAACAGACTGGTTGAAAGTTGGGAAAGGAGTACATCAAGGCTGTATATTGTCACTCTGCTGAATTAACTCATATGCAGTGTACATTATGTGAAAACCTGGGCTGGATAAAGCACAAGCTGGAACCAAAATTTCCTGGAGAAATATCAGTAACCTCAGATATGCAGAAGACACCACCCTTATGGCAGAAAGTGAGAGAAACTAAAGATCCTCTTGAGGAAGGTGAAAGAGGAGAGTGAAAAAGCTGTCTTAAAGCTCAACCTTCAAAAACTAACATCACAGCATCTGGTCCCATCTTACATTGGCAGGTGGATTGTTTACCACTAGCAACACCTGTGAAGCTCAAAGAAGGCATAGGAAGTATATCCATATATATATCCATATATATATATCCATATATATATATATATATATCCATATATATACCCATATATATGGATATACTTCCTATGCCTTCTCTGCTAGTGGTAAAGAATCCACCTGCCAATGTAAGAGATGGGTGCAGATTCCATCCTTGACTTGGGATCTTGGGATGATCCCCTGGAGAAGGAAATAGCCAACTTCAGTATTCTTGCCTGGAGAATCTCATGCAGACAGGAGCCTAGCGGGCTACAGTCCCTGGGGTCACAAGTGTTGGACATGACTTATTGACTAAACCATCATTACCATGGTTTCTTTTATATTTTATTTAATTTTAATGAAAAAATTTCAATAGGAGCCAACTTTCATCTTCTACCCCACTCAAGGATCCCTCCCAAATTTGTCTCTCCAATTTAATTTTGCTTTTAGGTTATAAGCTACACTCAGTGCAGCGTATGAGATTTTAGCCTTACATGTAGCCCCTGACACTGAGATCCAGGTTCTTTTAACCATCCTCCTGCCTGTTCATGCATCAGGCAAATTAGATTAAAGAACCTGTGGAAAGCCACTCTCTAAATGATACTCGCTTGGGCAGTTTGCTTCCAGGATGACACCAGCCCTGTGATGATCATCAGTTCAGTTCAGTTGCTCAGTCATGTCCGACTCTGCGACCCCATGGACCGCAGCACACCAGCCCTCCCTGTCCATCACCAACTCCCAGCACTTACTCAAACTCATGTCCATTGAGTTGGTGATGCCATCCAACCATCTCATCCTCTGTCATCCCCTTCTCCTCCTGCCTCCAATCTTTCCTAGCATTAGGGTCTTTTCAAATGAGTCAGTTCATTGCATGAGGTGGTCAAAGTATTGGAGTTTTAGCTTCAACATCAGTTCTTCCAATGAACATTCAGTACTGATTTCCTTTAGGATGGACTGGTTGGATCTCCTTGCAGTCCAGGGGACTCTGAAGAGTCCTCTCCAACACCACAGTTCAAAAGCATCAATTCTTCTGCGCTCAGCTTTCTCTTTAGCCCAACTCTCACATACATACTTGACTACTGGAAAAGCCATAGCATTGACTAGACGGACCTTTGTTGGCAAAGTAATGTTTCTACTTTTTAATATGCTGTATAAGTTGGTCATAATTTTTCTTCTAAGGAGCAAGTGTCTTTTTATTTCATGGCTACAGTCATCATCCACAGTGATTTTGGAGCCCCCCAAAATAAAGTCTGCCACCGTCTCCACTGTTTCCCCATCTGTTTACCATGAAGTGATGGGACTGGATGTCATAAGGTTTCTCAAGTTTCAGGTCAGGTGGCCTGGTGTTCCCACCTCTTTCAGAATTTTCCACAGTTTATTGTGATCCACACAGTCAAAGGCTTTGGCATAGTCAATAAAGCAGAAATAGCTTTTTTTCTGCAGCTGTCTTGCCTTTTTGATGATCTAGCTGTTGCTGACAATTTCATCTCTGATTCCTCTGCCTTTTTTAAACCAGCTTGAACATCTGGTCTGGAAGTTCACGGTTCATGTATTGTGGAAGTCTGGCTTGGAGAATTTTGAGCATTACTTTGCTAGTGTGTGAGATGAGTGCATTGTGCAATAGTTTGAGCATTCTTTGGCAGTGCCTTTCTCAGGGACTGGAATGAAAACTGTCCTTTTCCAGTCCTGTGGCCACTACTGAGTTTTCCAAATGTGCTGGCATATTGAGTGCAGCACTTTCACAGCATCATCTTTTAGGATTTGAAATAGCTCCACTGGAATTCCATCACCTCCACTAGCTTTGTTCATAGTGATGCTTCCTAAGGCCCAGTTGACTTCACATTCCAGGATCTGGCTCTAGGTGAGTGATCACACCATTGTGATTATCTGGGTCATAAAGATCTTTTTTGTACAGTTCTGTGTATTCTTGCCATTTCTTAATATCTTCTGCTTCTTTTAGGTCCTACAATTTCTGTCCTTTATTGAGCCCATCTTTGCATGAAATGTTGCCTTGGTATCTCTTATTTTCTTGAAGAGATCTCTAGTCTTTTCCATTCCATTGTTTTGTTCTGTCTCTTTGCATTGATCGCTGAGGAAGGCTTTCTTATCTCTCCTTGCTATTCTTTGGAACTCTGCATTCAAATGGGAATTTCTTTCCTTTCCTCCTTTGCTTTTCACTTCTTTTCACACCTGTTTGTAAGGCCTGCTCAGACAGCCATTTTGCTTTTTTGTATTTCCTTTTCTTGTGGATGATCTTGATCCCTGTCTCCCATACAATGTCATGAACCTCTGTCCATAGTTCATCAGGCACTCTGTCTATCAGGTCTAGTCCCTTAAATCTGTTTGTCACTTACACTGTATAATTGTTACAGATTTGATTTAGGTCATACCTGAATGGTCTAGTGGTTTTCCCTACTTTCTCTAATTACATCTGAATTTGGCAATTAGAAGTTCATGATTTGAGTCACAGTCAGCTCCCGGTCTTTTTTTTGCTGACTGTAGAGAGCTTCTCTGTCTTTCGTTGCAAAAAATATAATCAGCCTGATTTTGGTGTTGAACATCTGGTGATGTCCATGTGTAGAGTCTTCTCTGTGTTGTTGGAAGAGCGTGTTTGCTATGACCAGTGCATTCTCTTGGCAGAACTCTACTAGTCTTTGCCCTGCTTCATTCTGTACTCCAAGGCCAAATTTGCCTGTTACTC